AAAGATGTATTGTTTATAGGAAGTCGAAGTAAAGACGTTTATATCATAAATATCGATTTTGAAAATGATGAAAAATGTTTAGTGAGTTTGAAAGATGATACTTGGCTATGATATAGGAGATTAGGTCTTGTTGGGATTGATCGTCTTTCAAAAATGGTTTTGTCAAAGGTTAACCAAATTTGAAGTTTAAAAAAGACAAAATTTGCGATGCATGTCAATTTGGTAAACAAGAGAAAAATTCATTCAAACCCAAATTACACTCATCTACTACAAAACCACTTCAATTACTCCATATTGATCTTTTTGGACCATCAAGACCTCTATTTTAGGTAAAAAACTCTATGCCTTCGTTATCGTTGATGATTTCTCTAGATTCACTTGGGTTCTTTTCTTAAGTCTCAAAGATGAAGCTTTAAAAACCTTTAAAAATTTTTGCAAAAAGGTTCAAAATGCAAAGAAATACTCCATTACAGCCATTAGAAGTGATCACAGTGGAGAATTTGATAATCTTTCTTTTGATGAGTTTTGTAATGAAAATGGATATGAACATAATTTCCCGGCTCCTAAAACTCCTCAACAAAATGGTGTAGTAGAAAGGAAGAATCGCACATTACAAGAAATAGCTAGGACCATACTAAATGAAAATAGCATGCCAAAATATTTTTGGGCTGAAACCGTTAACACCGCTTGCTATATTGTTAATAGAATTTTAATTAGTCGGAAGAAAACCAAAACTCCATATGAACTTTGGAAAAATAGAATTCCAAATATTGGATATTTCAAAGTCTTTGGGTGCAAATGCTTTAGCTTGAATATAAAAGAAAACTTGGAGAAATTTAATTCAAAATCTGTTGTTCAAATTTTTCTAGAATATTCATCGACTAGTAAAGCTTAAAGAGTTTTCAACGAAAAAACTCTAGTCGTTGAAGAATCTATGCATGTCGCTTTCGATGAAACTAACTCTCTTGATCGTAAGAAATGTATTAATATTGATGTAGGGTTGGAAATTCCATTCGAACAAATGACTATTCAATATCAACATAGGAAAAATTCACAAGATGAATGTCGAGAAGGAGAAAATGTTCAACAAAGCGAAGAAGAGCCAACCTAAGTCCAAAATGACTTACCTCTACTAAAAGAATTGAGGTTTGTTTCTTCTCATCCTAAATAACTAATCATTGGTGATCCATTAAAAGGTATTACAATTAGAG